CTATAACAAAAGAAAATCTGCACTTCGAGCTACAAAAACTACGTATCTTCTTTTTGGTTGAATATCAAGATTCCGAATGATCTGCTTAATTCTGATATTATCCTTTTCGATTATAGTCTTATGTTTTGAAAATTACTGTATGATGATAAGAAGAAGTATTTCCATAGATTTGTTAGAATTCTTAGGTGGAGGGCACTAGTCGATATAATTTTATTTACTCTGATTTGCGCGCTTCTTCCAATTTTAGATTTGCGTCGGACGACTACCGGTATTCAACTACGAAAATCCCTGGAATTGGTGAGCGACGGAGTGGCGGTTAAGGAGTCTCGTAGATGTGGGTCGTGGGGAATGGTCACGGAGTGGGGGGGCGAGAGCGTGAATATTGGGGAGTGGAATGGTGGGTAAGGGTCGAGGGGAGTATCTGGGCGTGGAACAGTGGGTGATTTGGGCGAATATCGTAAGAATTTGAGAAGATTAATATGGAATGGTTAGAGAAAATGGTTCGTTATGGAATAAAAATATGAGCTCGATGATTATTTTTCTAAGAAATTTCTTTCGCTTTTTTAATATATTTAATTTTCTTAATTTAGATATATTATAAAATAAAAATAAGAATATTTGATATAAGATTAGTATTCTCTATCTTCTCTGCGATATAAGGATTGATTTTAATAATAACCTCACTATATTTTTTATTTATATATTATTATTTCGTCATTATTTTTTATCATTACTAAAAAAAAATATTTATATTATTTCTATTTATTGAGAGGAAAGATTATATAGAAATTATTATCTTTTTTATGGAATAGATAGATATAGGAGATTTATATATTATTATTAATCTATAGAAAATTAAATTTGATACCGAGAATATGAAATTGATTCTTTCTTTGGATTTATGAGGTCTCTCTTCGAAGATTATCTATATTTAATCGGGATTTTGGTTTGCTTAAGATTTATACAAGATGCCGACTTGAATCGGTCTTCTAAAATACTTGATTATTTCTTAAGCACCGCCCCGACTCTATTCCGCATATATATAACTGCCCCTCAAATTATACTATTGGGGGAGAAGGGGAACGTTAGATATTTGATTTCATATATAATATATATAAATGAAAATTAATATATATTTTTAATAAAATTTTTAATATTCAATTGAAAAATTTTAGAATTTTAAAAAGAATAAAATATGAAAAAAAAAAATATGAATCAGAATTATATTTGATGAAAATATTATATTCAAATTAATTTTTGAATTCTAATTAAATTTAATTTTCTCGATATCAAATAATATATTTTTATTTGCGAAAAAAGAATATAAATCCCAAGAGCCGGATTTAAGATTGAAATATAATTAAATCTAAATTCTTCAATCTTCCTAAAAAAATTTTTTTAAAAAACTATTAAAACTAAATTCCTAAATCTTTGAATTTTATTTTTTTTAATTCGATATTTTAATATCCCACACTTCTAAATCTTAGACAAAAAAATTCTAATAAGTGCCCGGTGCACCATAATAATAATATCATTAAGAAATTAAATTAATAATATATTTAGTAATCTAATAATATCAAATTTCGTTATAATAAATTATTTTATTCTTATCGATTAATTTTTATTTAATCAGAATTATATATATAAAATTAAGTATATAGACGATCATTATAAATAAAAATAGATATATTATTTTTCATTATATTCATTTATTTATATAAAAATAATATTTTTCAAAAATCATTATTTAAATAATATATCTTCTAAAAAAATCGATTTGAATTCATGAATATTAAGATATCGATATTTCGAATCTTTCTAATCTTCTTCCTTAAGAATATCAGAATTGACCCACTGCTTCCAATAGCGATATTCAAATAGAATATAAAGCTTGACAGTTTTCCGGCAACGACAGCCCAAGTCTGAAAATTTGTAGGAAATTTAGAGTGCCAGGTCTTAGCACGAAGGCGCAAATCTCGTGAAGTGGTGCAGCTACGGACAAATTGATATCGAATTCTTGCACGTAATTTGCCGGGGCCAAAGTCAGTTACGGACACTTGGATATCTAATTATATATGATGAGACCGATTCATGGCGCCAGAGCTAACCTACGATTATTTATTTTTATGGCAGCCATCCCCAAGCTGAAATCAATCTTCAAATATCAGTATCTTATATCAAATTTCATCCAGAGTGGCATATCAAAGACCGAGGATAGAATTATAAATAGGACGCGAGATCTTTTGCGTAGCCTGGGAGAGGCAGCAATAATATAGAAATTCAATATCCATATATATAATTTGTCGCCGGCTGGTGCCTGCATCCTGGCTATATAGCAACCAATGATAATTATCAAATTGAGAGCACCTCACGATAAATCTCATTATATATGAAGAACTGCCTTTCATGGAGCCCTTGGTCGAAATAGTTGTCAGCCAAAGCCCGAATATGGTTGCGATAAATTATATCAGAAAGCTAGATAAATAGAGAGATAAATAGATAGAGAGTCAGATAGATAGAGAGATAGATAGGCAGATAGATAGATAGAGAGACAGATAGATAGATAGATGGAGCGATAGATCGATACATCGACGGATCGATAGATAGATAGATAAATATTGAAATTTCGCGTATAAGTGCTATTCCATAGCCCAATATGAGAAAATTCCTAAAATCGATAATCCATATGAATGGATGAGGCACGATTTTCCAATAGAAAAAAAAATAGAATAATGTATATTCTATATTCAGACTATAAGATATTAGAAAGCTATATTTATTGTTTAAATTTTCGCAAATTTCGAGACAGAGGCATCGAACTACCCGGATCCCCAAATTTTCTAAAAACTTAAAGTCTAGCCCGAGACCATCGAAGAGACCTCATCTTCTTAAAGCTGCAGTCCGAGCTTTTAAATTTTCCGGAAATTTTGGGTCCTAGATCAGTCGAACCGACTCATGCGCCGTAATGAACAAATTTCTCCAATATATTGAAGTCTAGGCGTCCCGAAGTGGGTTGCACCGTATAGCACGCGTATAGCCGCCGTAATATTTTATAGATAAGTTATATCAGAGAATCATATAGATAGATAGGGATAGATAGAGAGAAAGAAAAAGGAGAGAGAGATATAGAGAGAGAGAGAGATAGAGAGAGAGAGACCCAGAGAGAGAGAAAGATAGAGCTAGAGACAGAGGGAGAGATAGAAAGAGATAAAGAGAGATAGAGAGAGATAGAATATCAGAGAGATAGAGCGACAAAGAGATAGAGAGGCAGAAGGATAGAGAGATAGAGTGAGAAAAATAGAAAGAGAGATAGAGATAGAGAGATAAAGAGAGAGAGAGAGAGATAGAGAGAGAAAGATAGAGAAAGAGAGATACAGAGAGATAAGGAGAGAGATAAAAATAGAGAGAGAGATAGAGAAAGAGAGAGATGGAGGGAGAGAGATAGAGAGAGAGATAGCGAGAGAGAGAGATAGCGAGAGAGAGAGATAGCGAGAGAGAGAGAGAGAGATAGCGAGAAAGAGATGGAAAGAGAAAGAGATATATAGAGAGAGATAGAAAGATAGAGATAGATAATTTTCGCGTGCAAGCGCTCATCCATAGCATTATATATAAAAATCCCAATAGTCGATAACTCACTTGTTTATATAAGGCACGATCGTCTAATATAAAACTATACAATGACTATATCTTCTATATTTAGAATATAAGATATTAGAAGATTACATTCGTTCTCTAAATTTTCGGATCTAAATTTTTAAAAAACTTAGAGAATCGATAATTGAAAATTTTGATATCGAGGGGTCGAACTACACGGATCCCCAAATTTTTGAAAACCTTAGCAAATTGGGCCTAGCCCGAGACCATTGAGGAGGCCCCGCCCTCTTAAAGCGTGGGGCTCCGGGGTAGCTCAAATCGACTTGCTAGCCTAGATGCAGAAAATTTTGGGGCTGGAGCGTTCCGAGACCTGACGTACCGGATAGGGCTGCTTTATCTATAAAGAGTTTTTAAAATAGATAAAAAATATATATCTATATCATTTCTTATAATTATCAATATTGATATATTTTATTTATTTAGTCAATAAATAAATTCATCTTAATTTAGACTTAGAATTTTTCAATGCCATTTCATCTATTCTTATAATTAATATTTTTATTAATTAATTCATTATATATTAAAATATCATATTTCAAAACCTTATTAATTAATTTTTATTATTAGATAAACTAGAATTATTTTAAATTACGATAATCTAAAATTTTAGATATTTCAAGAAATCTATTCATTTTTTTTATTTCTAAAAGCCGTATATTATATCTATATATCTTCAATTTATTCCCTGAATTGAATATAGAGTATAAATAACTCTTATATATTGTACAATAATAACAACGAATATCTAAACAAAATATTGATATTATATTTAGTGTAACCTCTTTGGTTCAAAATAATTAAGATTTCATATTAGGAATGGATTCCGATTATTCAAACTTAAGCCACAAGTTAAGAATCAATTTATTTGACATGGAGCCCAAAATCACAAAGCGACGGCCTGGACCTTCTGTTAGTCCCTTCAGTAAGACTCCTCAAGCCCTAAGCCTTGCATCCCACAAGGCCCCAAATCCTCGAAGGAGATATCTCCTAACTGAAATTTCATCTCGGGCAATCCGGCCAACATGCACTCCCCGGATTAGGCTAGTATACGGGGGGAGGGTTTACTAGACGGAGGAGATGATCAACATACCTGAAAACTACCTTGATTTTTTCTAAGTCAGTTGCATGGTATCGGTATTCTCAATACTTATAGCCTTTCGCTTAACAGGGTGAATTGAATGTCGCTTAGCCCACCAAAGACAGTGAGTGAGCATGGCCTTGCCTCATGCAAGTTCTTCAGCCCAAAACGACTGTCGTTATGATGCTATTGAATCGCACAGCATTTTTCCGTGCATGAGGGAACGATCGTAGCGATGCATTTGCAAACGAAATGATTGGGAATGGAATCATTCAGACATTTCGCCGTCTCGCGGCGTCTTGTCGTCGATCCAGAACACCCTTCCAGGTCGGGCCGTTTAAGTCTTTCGAAGTTAGACTCTACTCTGCATGGAGTTGCCCTGGAGAGAATCTTCAAGGTAACAAGTCACGAGTAAGGCGATGAGAACTTGCGGATCAGCTGGCCATTGGGGGAATTGGACTTGTCACTTTTGCTGCGTTCCGTGTTTGCGCAAACTAGACCTCGAATCGCTCAACCCAAACCCCAAAACTCTGTGCCGGTTGGAAGCCGAAACCAGAATTTCCAATTGCTAAACTCTAGACTCTGTAGGCAGCGTCCGGGTGGCTTCAACAGCCAAACCGCCAATGCCATTAACCAGCTGACGCAGCCACAGCACCTTTGAGAGTCCACCAATTCGAGAAGTCCCGAGTTTAGGATTACCTTGCCACGGGATGAGCTGCCACAGAATGTCCCTGGCTCTTTGCAGAGTTTCCTGGCAAGGCCTGGTATCACTCGGGGTAGTCATCAACTGCAGGGCTTAGAGGCTTAGACCCTGCATGGAAGCTAAAACCCATTGCGAAACTGCCAGACAAGCTGCAGCAGAACGCGAGCAAACCCATCGTGGCGGGTGCCGAACCTGCATGCTTCAATCGACGGCATGTGACTGAAAAGACACATGAAACTGTGGAGGATCCACATCAACACTCGCAAGGTGCCAGGCAGCAGAAACAAATTCGGCCAGCCTTCCATACTCTGTGATGACCAAGGACTTATAACCTGCGAGCGGCATCAAGACGATGAGCCATGAGTGGACCCCACCAGGCTCTTGGAAACTTTTGGATGCATGCTTGACGTGATAAGATAACCTTGCACAACAACCGAAGTCTAATCCTGCTACAAACATCACGGCTCAGGCACGAGCCTTGTAACCCTGAACTTGCTGAAAGACAGAAAATGAACGTGCCAGCCTCCCGGAATGGTCTTCGTGTCCCAGCGCGATGTGATGGTCACGGTGATGTTCTGCACGAAATGGGCTGTGAAGTTTGGCTCTGCCGGCTTGCGCTGTCTGTGGTTTCAAGTCTGCTGCAGCAACGACACGTTCCGGCATTTGACGCACCAAGGGATCCCAAGGGCTCCTGGCCCTTGGGCAAATCCTCGTGGATGAAACCCACTTTGTTCCAGACCTTGTCAGGAGGCGCGTCTCTGCAACACAGACATGACTTGCATCGAGACATCCGTGCAGCTGCGATCCTGCAGCAGAAGGACCTCTTTGGGCCGACCACATTGGGATGCATGGTTTCAAGAGCATGAGCACAAGGCTGTTTGCACTTTGGAGACAAAACAAGCAGAATGAATCCACGAAGAGTGCCCTTCCCTGCTTCCTCTTGCGAACCGGAGAAGCCGACTGCAAGGCATTTGTGCCGAGGCCCTTTCGAAACTGTTGGCAGCAGGGTTTTGTTTGCTGCTCTGCGGCCCGAGGAAGTGCAGATGGTCTCATCCAGTTCACGAAGTTCTCGTCTTTGACGTTCTCCTCCTGCCAGGCCGTTATGGCTTCAAGTTGGCTGCGTAGCAACTGGGTTGAGTTGTGCTGCTGCTTTTGTGAGTGGCATAACCAACGCGGCTAGCTAAACTGCAACGCCACTGTTGCTTGCAGCTCGTATCGTCGCGCCTGTGAACATGTTTTCCTGGACAAGGACCGCACAGAAACTGGGCGGAACGATTGAGCTCAGGCACGTCGTTGATCACGCCAGGAAAAGTTTGGAAGAGCCATTGGATCTTGTTGTCGTGTTGCTCTGCCTGCCGGGGTCATACTCTCAGCTTTCGTCGCATCTTCAAGCATTCGGCTTCAAACACTAACATGTCTCGCAGTCTCGCCAGGTTTGAGGCTTAGGGGGCTAAGGCCGTTGCTTGACAGCTCCCTTCGGGACAGACCACGAGACCAATGGAAAACTTGCCATACGGCGCCATGCTGAGCACACAAGGCCCGAAGGCCATTTACCTCCAAAGCCTCGGGTTGCTTGGGCGAGCTGAGGACATGCCCAAGGAGTCAAGAGCTTGAGACTGTCTGACTGAATCCACGACAATGCGACACACACACACACACAAAAAAAAAAGAACACACACACACACACACCACTCGAATGCAAAGATCCGGAACGTCCAGCCGTGAAGTTTCACGACCGGGCCCTCCTGGCCCCTCCACCCTCTGCGCCTTTTCGGGGTCCCACGGAGCATCGTTGAATCTGCAGCATGCGTGCAGGTATCAGGAGTGACATGTTCGTTGACACTTACTGACCTTGGACCTCGGCTTGCAGACGTCTTGTTGCATTCGCTTCAGGATTTGGAGCCCTGAAACAGCAAAACTCCGATCCTGGGAGCTGCGACAAACCTCGCGAATCTGAAGATGAGACTGAAGCATGAACAGTTGCCAGTCCTGACTGCCTTTCCGGCACAAGGCCCTCAACCTCAAAGTCAGAAGAACCCAGCACCTCGGATTGCTGTAGCGTCCAACGTCCGATCTCCAAGCAATGCCTTTGGGATCGATGTCGTAGTTATGGACCTTATGCATGGTTCAAGCACAACAATGAAGCATTAGCAGTGGGCTTTGCTGAGATGGCAGCATAGAAGGAGTCGTTGAAGAAGCTCATTGCCTCGCAGGCAAGAGTCAAAATCATCCAGCACTGCCAACACACAAGCAGCGCCGATGCAGCACAGATGCCTGTAGCAGGAGAAGGGGTCTTTTATCGAGCAAGAAAGCGGCTAGCCTTTGGTTGCCATGACTTCCACATGACTCGGTGAATAGTCTTGATGGCACTGTAAGGTTCTATTGAGTCGATGCAGTCGCAAAGCTGCGACTCCAGGGTTTGGCGGTCCAGCTGCAATGCAATGGGACTTGATCCCTGAAGTTCGTAAAGCTTTGGACGTGTGCGAACCATGACTGACTCACTCAGTCGGATATACCCCCTTCTGTCAGTTCCTGCTGCACTCCCCACCTGCCTTCAGCCCACATGGCACCAGCTGCAAAGGCTCCGCCCTGAGCACAACTTGGGCGATGTTCTCTCTTCCGTTGCTTTGCGGCCTTCGTAGCTTGAACTTCGTACTGCCGAATGTGACTTGGCACTGAGGGGCTGAACAGCACAAACAACGAGCGGATGCTTCTACCCCTGTCTGCATGCATGGTGTAGGGATGTTGTTTCTGAAATTCTGCAAAGTATGCGCAATCGAGCGATCAAGTCCTCCCAACTAGGCGGCTCTGGGGCATTTACAGACCAGAGTCACCAATTCTTCCGAAGCCTTAACATCCCAAGCTCCGAAATCCAGCCGGTGTGACTGGTGCCCTACTCGAACACCCCTCGACTAAAAAATACCTGAGAACAGTATATGGTAGTTATAACAGCATAGAGCATTGAAACGTACTTACGCACGAACACAAATACACACACATGCATGCACGAAATGTGTGTATATGTATTCGTTCAGAATACAACCTTCATGATATCATGATAGCACAATGAAGCAAGATACGGCGTGTGGGCAGGGGCTTCAGTTTTGTTGTTCCGTTATGCTACGCTATGTTGTGCTGTGTTCTGATATGTAACGCCAAGCTGCTTTGATACATTATTTTCATGCGTCTATGTTTTGGTACGTAGATTGTACATATCATGAACCGTACTACATCTCGAACATTTGATGAGGTGAATGCCCGGCCACCCTGGGCTTTTCACGAACTCGCGCGTGCGGTAGGGGCACTTGGCCTTCCGATGGCATCAGATGTTGTTTTGGACACCATAGGTGCTATCTTAAGGCCTGCTGGGAGTCTATCGAGCGCACAAAAGCAACAAGAAGCAACTGGGCTAAGTGTCTCCCAGCTCGGAGTTTTCCAAAAGGAGACAACTCGAAGACTGCCGATTCAATGCCGGACAGAGATGTCCTGCTAGTCGAACTCTTGAAGACTGCACTACTCCAACCATCTTGAAACCTCACCACTCTGCACTCCCTGCACTCTGCACCGTGGAATCACTCAAGCCACAGTACCAATCTCCCTTACTTAGGACCAGCACCTCGCGAAGACTTTGAAGTCCAGACTGCTCCTACGGCGGCGCCACCCCGATGGGAGCTCTTGTTGAGGACAACTTCTAGCATGTCTTCAAGCCTACCACAATCAACCGATGCTTCAACGACGACCAGGCTACCGAAAGTCGAGGCCGTCTTTGCTTGGCAACCTTCGCGGCTGATTTCGAGAGAGTCCTTGTCTTCGTCCCACTTGCCGTAGAGCTCCTGTATCACTTCCGACTTCCTTAGCAGGAGTGCTCTCACTGAATGCAGGTGTTGCAAGGCATTATCCCTGGCATGCATAAAGGATGCATTGTAGCACCGGATTCTCATGTCTAGTGTCAAACGTGCACATGAACAGCTGAACTCAACGGAGCCAGGCGTCATGTAGTGGTTGTAGTTCTGGTACATGGGCCCTGGTGCAGGAAATGACATCAGACCGGCGCGTGCAGAGCTGCCGAACTGTGCATACACTCGTAAACTCTATGCTCAGAAGACTTTACCCGGCAATGGCTCGAACCGCCAGCATGCCAGCTGCAAACTTCTCCGAGAACCAGTTCTCTCACTAGTGTGTGCAAGGGTTGGAACAACTCATGAGGTCTGGACACAGGCAGTTGAACTTAGTCACAATCCTCCGCAGGATCGTGCTTCGAACCTGGTGGTAAGGAATCGGAATCGTGGTCGATGAAACAAACCACCACTGTAGCACCGTGTATCATCGCGTCCAGCCACGTAAGATTACTTGAGCGAGCGTTTCGAACATCTCGACAACAGCCAGGAGAGAGGGCGAGCAGCTTCTGCTGGCTTTGCAAGCTAAACCGTGCCGCCTTCGATGGTAATTGGCCATGCATCTTCCACGTTAGTCTCGCCTAAACCCTGTAGCCGCCGTTGACATCAGTTCTAGTGAGAACCTGCAGCCACCTCAAAGCCCTACTGTGCCAACTGCTTTCCTCCCAGCAAGTTTCATGCCCGGCCTACAGAGTAGAACAGCATCGGCTTCCGTAGCAAATAATTGCTTTGAAACGTTTTCCTGAGTCTTTCGGCAGCGGGTGCAGTGTGCACTGGGCCAGAAATTGGAATGCTGCAAAACTTGGAAAGGCCATGGACTTTCTGATGCGGTTGCTGTCACAAGTGCATATTAAAGTATGAAGAAGCCTGTGCAAGTAGCTCAAGGGATATGGGTTGCTCTTGCTGATCTGGCAGGCAAAAAAGCAATGTCAAAATGTGACACCTTCCAGTATGCCATTTCCTGCTCACTGATGGATCTGCGAGCACATTTGTCTCACTTACGTGCATCGTGAACTGCTGATCGCAATCCAGCTGCATCCGACGAATGTGTGCAGCCGACTGCAATCTGAGTTGACTGTGCTAGCCCTGTTTGGCAACCGTTCGTAGGTTGATGAGATGGGTCGCCACTTGTGCCCTATCTCATCTGTGTAGTCAAGTCTCGTGCAGTTCTTGACCCATATCCCATTCTCTGTGACGTTCTTGCAGTCCTGTCGGCGACTTTGACATGTGTGTGTTTGGCATCGAAGCTTCCCGAGCCAGTCTTGGATCATCCTTCATCGAGCACAGTAGTAGTAGTAGTAGTAGTAGTAGTAGTAGCAGCAGAAGTAGAAGGTGGCAGTGGCAGTGGCAGTGGCAGTGGCAGTAGCAGTGGAAGTAGTAGTAGTAGTAGTAGTAGTAGTAGTAGTAGTAGTAGTTTTAGTAGTAGTAGTAGTAGTAGTAGTAGTACTAGGCTAGCAGCAGTAGCGGACAGCAGCAGTGGCAGCAGCAGTAGCA